TTTGTTTACTTTTACGTACCTTCCTCATCTTGTCCTTTCTCTTTTAAACTCCTTTAATAGCTCATAACATACGCATTCCATTCTGTAACTGTAATTCCCACAGTTGTTTTAAATGTATTCCTAGAACTGAATGAATATATTGCTTACTGCTAATACCTTTGGTATAGTTTCTCTGTTCATCTCATAGTTACTTATAGTTCATCCTTTAATAGTTTCCTCAAGAAGGATAAGTGAGAATTATTCCCTGAGTTATTGCATTTCTAAAATGTCTGTCTTTTGTATTTATTGAACAACAGCTTAGCTGGGTATAAAATTCCTGGTTTTCAACTTTCATTTCCTAAAGTTTTTGTAGGTCTTGCTCCTCTGACTTATAATGTTGAATGTTGATATGAGAATGTTTGAAGTCAGCAGATTCTTTTTTTTTTTTTTTTTTGAGACGGAGCCTTGCTCTGTCGCCCAGGCTGGAGTGCAGTGGCCGGATCTCAGCTCACTGCAAGCTCCGCCTCCCGGGTTCACGCCATTCTCTTGCCTCAGCCTCCCGAGTAGCTGGGACTACAGGCGCCCGCCACCTCGCCCGGCTAGTTTTTTGTATTTCTTAATAGAGACGGGGTTTCACCGTGTTAGCCAGGATGGTCTCGATCTCCTGACCTCGTGATCCGCCCGTCTCGGCCTCCCAATCTTTTTTTTTTTTTTTTTTTTTAGACAGGGTTTTGCTTTGTCGCCCAGGCTGGAGTGCAGTGGTGTGATCTTGGCTCACTGCAACCTCCGCCTCCTGGGTTCAAGCAATTCTCCTGCCTCAGCCTCCTGAGTAGCTGGGAGTACAAGTGCGCACTGCCACATCCAGCTAATTTTTGTATTTTTAGTAGAGATGGGGTTTTGCCATGTTGGCCAGACTGCTCTCGAACTCCTGACCTCAAGTGATCTGCCTGCCTTGGCTTCCCAAAGTGTTGAGATTACAGGCATGAGCCATTGCACCCGGCCAGATTCTTTTCATCCTTATAGATGAATTGATCTTTTTGATTAGATGCCAAAAGGATTTTTAAATTTTCCGAGTTTAACTTTGCTACAGTATATACGTATGATGGAATTCTTACAATTTATAGATTTAAACCCTTTATTTTTGGAAAACTTATTTTTAAAAAAATTCTTATCCCCAAGTATTCTGAGTCATATAGTTTTCTTAAATTACACTCTAATTTTGGGGGGTTTCATATTTTTGTTCAGTTAAGTAGCAACATGGTCTTCTTTTTTTATTTTTTGAGACAGAGTCTTGCTTTGTCACCAGGCTGGAGTGCAGTGGCATGATCTTGGCTCACTGCAACCTCTACCTCCTGGGTTCAAGCGATTCTCCTGCCTCAGCCTCCCGAGTAGCTGGGACTACGGGCATGCGCCACCACGCCCAGCCAATTTTTGTATTTTTAGTAGGCATGGGGTTTCACCATGTTGGCCAGGATGGTCTCGATCTCTTGACCTCAGGTGATCTGCCCACCTTGGCCTCCCAAAGTGCTGGGACAACAGGTGTGAGCCACCATGCCTGGCCAACAACGATCTTTATGTTAGATCTCCTTTGTTTGTCCTATACATTTATTCTGTACTAGTTCTTCTAAACTCTTGTTGATTTCTATTTCATTTTGCCCATTTTCTGGATCCTGTCCTCTTGGGTCTCTTACTGGGTTGTTAGTGATGTCTATTCTGCTTCTGGCTGTTTCTAGCTTTTCTGACTTTTAGTTGGCTCAAAGTCTTTAGATTCCAGCTGGAATCCCATAAGCAAGTAGCTAAGACTGTAAAAAGAAATCTTTGAAAGAAGCAGATGCTTTTCACCATCTGCTAAGTCAGCTTTTTGGCATTGTATCTTCTTCATTGTATTCCAGATAATCAAACTTTCAGTTTGAGTTTTGCCTTTTTTCTCTCCTGTTCAGTCATCTAAATTCCTTGAAGTAGTTCTTTGAGTGTATATTTTGATAGATATTTTTAATTTGTGGATTTAAAAATAAATATTTTGGGGATTGGTTGGTTCTGTTATATGGAAGAAGGATTATGGAATTGTCTTTTTGCTTCCAGAGCAGACTGAGTGTTCTTTTCCCCAAGGAATAATTAGGAATAAATCCGTGTAAATGGTTTATCAGGCTTTGTAGTATTTTATTAAATGCAAATATTATGTGACGGTTGAAGGGAAATATGCAAAGCTGAGGAAAATACAAATTTGAGGGTGTTTTGATATGTCTTAACATTTTTTTAATTGTATGTAGATATGGTAGATGCTTTTTCTTTGATCAGTATGCCTCTTCGGCTGTGGATGTGTTTCCTTTCAAGCCTTATATCTGTGATGGAATAGATTTTGCTACTGTACTGATGGTATGCCAGCGGTCAAAGATTTGAGGACCACTTCTGACTGTGTTCCAATCATCCACTTGATCCACTTGGCTAATGGGAAATGGCAAGGAATTGTAGGCATCACTTTAGACATTTTAGAATGACGTGGTTCAAAGAAATTGTGAACACCGGGTGTAAGAACTTGGGTAGTGACTGTGCACACATAATTTCTTGCCATTAAGCTGCTTTCCCCAGTCAGTGTGCATCAGGATGTTACCCCACAGTGTATTATCTGTTTGTTTGCTATACATGTGCAAGTCTCTGTTCATGACAACTGGAAAAAGGAAAGAGCCATTCTGCTGGGAGACAGCAACTAGAATCTTAGATTCTCAAGCCCATGGAGAGCTTTTCACCGCTCATTGTGTTTTGTAAGGTTTACCTTGTGTAGTTTGGTCAGAAGCAGTAGTGACAGCAGTATGTGCCATTATCGATCTCTTATTCTGTACCAAGTGCTGTGCTAAGTACCTTTATATACCTTATCTCATTGTTTATTAGAATGTAATCACATGACTTTTAAAAATTATTATCTCCATTTTACTGATAAGAAAACTGAGAGGGCCAGGCGTGGTGGCTCACGCCTATATTCCCAGCACTTTGGGAGGCTGAGGCGGGTGGATCACAATGTCAGGAGTTCAAGACCAGCCTGGCCAAGCTAGTGAAACCTTGTGTCTACTAAAACTATAAAAACTAGCTGAGCGTGGTGGCAGGTGCCTGTAATCCCAGCTACTCGGGATGCTGAGGCAAGAGAATCGCTTGAACCTGGGAGGCAAAGGCTGCTGTGAGCCGAGATCGTCCCACTGCACTCCAGCCTGGGCAGCAGAGTGAGACTCTGTCTCAAAAAGAAAAAAGAAAACTGAGACTCATAGTTAAATTGCATGATAATTAAGTGGTAGAATCAGGATTTGAATCCAGGACTCCTTGGCTTAAAAGGCCATGCCCTTAACAATTGCATTGCTGTCTATCAGTGATATTGATTAGCGTTGTACATCTTCTAATGCTAAACAAGAATAAGGCATTATAGGCAGAGTAGAAATTCTCCTTACATGTAGTTTAATGTGGGTTAACTCTATGTTTGAATAATTAGAACAGACTTTCTTGGCTGGGCACAGTGGCGTGCACCTGTAGTCCCAGCTACTTGGGAGGCCGAGGCAGGAGGATCCCTTGAGTGATCCCTTGAGCTCAGGAGGTTGAGGCTGCAGTGAGCTATGATTGCGCCTGTAAACAGCCCCTGCATTCCACCAGCTTGGGCAACACAGTGAGACCCTGTCTCTATAAAAACAAAAACCAGGCTTTTGTTCCTTCCCTTCACATAATCTAGAGAATCAGCTTATGAGATGAAATGGGCTGGGAAAGTGAATATTGTTTTTCCACAGATAATTCCATATGTGGTTAAATGGATTTTGCTTGAACTTTCTCCCTTTTCCTATAGGGAAAACCTTCAGGCCTTAAATGTCAACATGGAAATCTTTATCCCAAATAAAATTGGCTCCGAGAGAGGTACCATAGTGAATGATACAGAATTGTTTAAAATGGCATCTTCTGTATTTCTCACTGTTAACTAGGAAATGCACACTTTGGTCATTTGGTGATCCCAAAATTGGTTGAGTTAGTTAGCTCAGCTAACATCATATTGGTTTTTCTGGATAGGGTTAATGAAGTTAAATATTTATTTACGTGGGTGTAATGGGTACTGCCCTGTTAATTCCACTGTAACTTTGTAATTCATGTGCCATTACCCTAAGAGTCTTACCAAGTATTTTTGCATTCTGGAACAACAGGGACAGACTCTTCTATTGTTTGCAGTTACCATCATAAAAATTGAAAACAAACAAAAAAATTAGTTTTTTCCCTCTTCTCAAGATAAGTTTGCCTTCTGCTTAACAAAATTGTTTCCACTCCCCCTGTGGTATGAAGACAGAGCCCCGTCAGTCCACACTTAATCGTGTTACTGGTGTGCAGCCCTCTGCTCATTTCCTCGCTTGCCTTCTGCCCTGCAGTGGGTGCACTGTCACCTTGAAATGGCAGTGTGAGGCAGTAGCAGGAAGAACCCAAGCAGGCAAGCTGGGCTTCTGTTTCACTCTAGGTGTCAATAGTCTTTGATTTGTTCCTGTCCTGCCTGGGAGGTGAGATGAAGAAGTTGTTCATTTCTGCTGGTGCTTTTGCTTAAGACACCCTCAGGAGACCTTTTTCCGTAGTCTTGTGGGTTGCGTTAGTTAGCAGCCCAATCACTAAAAACAAAAGGAGCAGAGCTGCAAGAGAAGTGGCTCCTAATATTTGGAGCCAGGTAGTGAGACCTGGAGCACTGGGTTGAAGGGAAATTATTCTCATGCTATTTTGTAGAGTCTCGTCCTGAGGACAATTAAATAGTCCAGACGGGTCACTGGGTGAGACCAATTTCCTGGTTTGTTTACTTGAGCCTGATAGTTTTTCACCATCCAGCAGTAGGTCACAGTCCTGCTGCACTGTGACCCCAGAGGCCTGCAGAGAGCAGTCCTTTCATATTTGATTTCCACAGGCTTCCCCAAGGATCCTTGCATGTCTTTATTTGGTTGGATTGCTCTGTTGTGTCTCTCAGGCTCAGGGTAGAGGACAATGTCAGTAATTACTCTTGACTTCATCTTATGCAGGCATTTGGCTTTATGTCCCGAGTTGCCCTACAAGCAGAGAAGATGAATCATCACCCAGAATGGTTCAATGTATACAACAAGGTAACTAAACTGCCTTATTTGGGAATCACCTTAATTACAGAGTTTAAGAAACTTTTTCTTCCTTGTCATCTTGTGCAGCTAAATGTCATCGAGCTTAAGAAAGTCTTATCCTTTCTCTCAGAATGCCTGTGTATTATTGCAAATTAGTAACACATTTTCAGGTCTGCTCCTAAGAACAGTGAATAAGCTCTTTATTTTCATGCTTGTCTTTCTGCTGAAGCTAATATGAGAAAGTTGGGCCAAATGAGGCTCCTGAATTAAACTGGAGTATCAGCCATGCAGATATGTGTCAAAACTTAAGGTAAATTATTGAAAGAAATGGTAGCAAATCAGATAGATATGGTCTTGTTTATCTCGTTGAAATAAATTTGCTCAAGAACTGTGCTTTGAGAACTGTTAAATTTTGTATCCTGTGTAGGAACTGACCTTATTTAAGACAAAGGACAGACTAAAAAGTTTTGAGGGGGCACAGTGAGAAGAACCTTGTTCCTCCAAAAGTGTCCTTGCCTTTATGGTCATGCCATTTGGAATGTCTTATCTAGATTTCTGTGACGTCTTCTCTATGAAAATCTTTGAAGAGAGAGAATTTCACAATACTCACGTGACTTATTAGAATAATACAGAGCACCTTCGCACCAGGCGAAACTTTTCTTTGCTAGTTGCTTCTCTTAGCTCGTAATTTTGCCCTTTACTCCCACTTCCCTAATTTGGAAATGTGCCTTTTTTATTTTCTTTTTTTTTTTTGAGGTGGAGTCTGGCTCTGTTGCCCAGGCTGGAGTGCAGTGGTGCCATCACAACTCACTGCAATCTCCACCTCCCAGGTTCAAGTGATTCTCCTGCCTCAGCCTCCCGAGTAGCTGGTGTCACAGGCGTGCACCACCATGCCCGGGTAATTTTTATGTTTTTAGTAGATACGAGGTTTCACCATGTTGGCCAGGCTGATCTCAAACTCATGAACCCAGGTGATCTGCCTGCCTCAGCCTCCCAAAGTGCTGGGATTACAGGTGTGAGCCACTGTGCCCAGCCAAAATGTGCTTTTTATTTATTTATTTATTAAATTAAATTTTATTTTTTTTTTTTGAGACGGAGTCTCGCTCTGTCACCCAGGCTGGAGTGCAGTGGTGCGATCTTGGCTTACTGCAAGCTCCGCCTCCCGGGTTCACGCCGTTCTCCTGCCTCAGCCTCCCGAGTAGATGGGACTACAGGCGCCTGCCACCTCGCCTGGCTAGTTTTTTTGTATTTGTTAGTCAGGATGGTCTCGATCTGCTGACCTCGCGATCCGCCCGTCTTGGCCTCCCAAAGTGCTGGGATTACAGGCATGAGCCACCGCGCCCAGCCTCAAAATGTGCTTTTCAAACATTGCTGCTAAGATATTACATTTGATAGCTTGGTTTTTCTCAGTGGCCTGAAAATAGTTGGTGTAATTAAAGTAATGAGAGTTCAAGTGGAACCTCAGTCTCTCTTTTTATTTAAAGAAATAAGATTTGAGATTCTGGCAGCTGTATTGCTTCTTCATGGGAGAGAACTTCTTATTTCAAGGTGGCTGTTGAGCCAGGCCTGATGTAAACTGTGCCCCTGGAGTTCACTGGGCTTTGGAAATGTTTTGCTTATTCATAATGTAGTAGTTTCTAGATCATTTAATCCCCCTAATTCTGAAATATGAATGTTGAATAATAGACTAATTTCTGAACTGCCAAAGGAAAATAACCATGATTTACTGCTCAGAGTTTTAAAAACTGCTTTTCTTTTTCTTAGGTCCAGATAACTCTCACCTCACATGACTGTGGTGGAGTGACCAAAAGAGATGTGAAACTGGCCACGTTTATTGAAAAAGCAGCTTTTTCTGTGTGATTTGTTCCAAAATACATGTAAAATCTTGTACACATCTTAGCTGCAATGTATGTTGAAGGAAATTTATGTGAACAAAGTTGTTCTTTTTGTTTTTTTTTTCCCAGACAGAGTCTTGCTCTGTTGCCCAGGCTGGAGTGCAGTGGCCTGATATCAGCTCACTGTAACCTCCACCTCCCGGGTTCAGGCTATTCTCCTGCCTCAGCCTCTTTAGTAGCTGGGATTACAGGCATGCACCACCACGCCTGGCTAATTTTTGTATTTTTAGTATAGACGGGGTTTCACCATGTTGGTCAGGCTGGTCTCGAACTCCTGACCTCGTGATCCACCCACCTCGGCCTCCCAAAGTGCTGGGATTACAGGCGTGAGCCACCACGCCTGGCTGTTGAGTTGTTCTTAAGGCATCATATCTAGAAGCAAAAAAAAAAAAAAAAAAGAAAAATAACAATTTATGTTGTGTGAATTTAGTTTGCCTTTATATATTACATTTGGTAAAATCAGTGCTTAAATATGCAATGATTTAAACTTGAACTTGAGGTAGTTTTCATGCTATCTAATCATATACCTAAGATAAACCAACCTAGTTACTTATATTAATAATATTCAGAAGGAGAAGTGGCTTTTTTTTTTGAGACGGAGTCTCGCTTTGTCGCCAGGCTGGAGTGCAGTGGTGCGATTTCAGCTCACTGCAACCTCCGTCTCTGAGGTTCAAGTGATTCTCCTACCACAGCCTCCCGAGTAGCTGGGACTATAGGCACGTGCCACCACGCCTAGCTAATTTTTGTATTTTTAGTAGAGACAGGGTTTCACCATGTTGGCCGGGATGGTCTCAATTTACTGACCTGGTGATCTGCCTGCCTTGGCCTCCCAAAGTGCTGGGATTACAGGCATGAGCCACTGCGCCTGGCCAGAAGTGGCATTCTTAAATTTATGAAATTGGGATAGGGAGTATTCACACATTTTACAACCCAGAAATTCAAGCAATTTTGGTGACTACAAATGCATTGTGTTGGAGAATAGTTGTAAGGTGGAAAAAGAATTATGAACTTGACAAATAGTGAGTTTTAACTCTAAATAACAATTCTTCTTTTGTTTTGTTTTGTTTGCGACGGGGTCTCGCTCTGCCTCCCAGGCTGGGGTGCAGTGGCAGGATCACGGTTCACTGCAGCCCTAATCTCCTGGGCTCATGCAACCTCCTCAGCCTCCTGAGTAGCTGGGACTATAGGCAAGTGCCACCACGCCAGACTAATTTTAAAATGTTTTGTAGAGATGGGGTCTCCTGTGTTGCCCAGGCTGGCCTTGAACTCTTGGGCTCAAGCAAGCCTCCCACCTCTGCCTCCCAAAGTCCAGGGATTACAGGTGTGAGCCACTGCACCCAGACAGTATAACAGTTTTTTGTTTTTTGTTTTTGACACAGGGTCTCATTCTTTTGCCCAGGCAGGAGTGCAGTGGTGTGGCCATGGCTTACTGTAGTCTTGACCTCTTAGGCTCAAGTGATCCTCTCACCTCAGCCTCTTGAGTAGCTGCAGCTACAGGCATGTACCACCACACTTGGCTTATTTTTAAAACTTTTTTATGGAGACAGGGTCTTACTGTGTTGCCATGGCTGGTCTAGAACTTCTGGGCTCAAGTGATCCTCCCGCCTTGGCCTCCCAAAATGTTGGGATTACAGGTGTGAACCACTGTGTCATAACAATTATTTAAAAATTTTAATTTATTTTTAATAATTATACAAGATGGAGTCTCACTATGTTCAAGACCAGGCTAGTCTTGAACGCCTGGGCTCAAATGATCTTCTTGCCTTGACCTCCCAAAGTGCTGGGATTATAGGCTTGAGCCCCTTATAACCTGGCCTCTATAACAATTCTTATGAAGCTAAAGTTAATTTGGATTTTAGCTGCTGTTACTACTTAAATAATTAATTAGATTAAACAAGTCACAAAAATTGGATGAGCTCTCTTGGTGTGTTTTCTTTACTTTTCTCTTTCAACAGAGAGTTGAAGGAGAGGACAAGTGTCTTGTCCGTGGCTTCCAGGAATGTGTGGCAATACAAGATTTACTGTGAGAGCAGCGAACTCACCAGCTCATTATTTGACTTACTGAGTTAAGGAGGAACTAAGGGTCATTTTTCCCCCATCATTTGCATGTTGTGACTCCTGAACTGAGGTTCTACAGCCACTGAAGCTAGAAGCTACTTGGGTATTATTCAGTAGTGAGCTCTACTTACTCCATGTATCACTGACAGATATGAAAAGCAGTATCAAGTAATCTATTATTTAAAAATTATAATAATGTTCTTTGAAGGAATTCAGGAATATACTACTAATGAGATTACGATGCAGATATATCCATCCATGAAGCATTTGTTAGTCCCTTGAAGCATCATGGTAGTGGAATTTAACACGGATCATTTTTGTAAACCCACCTCTCTTTAGGGGCCAGAGAAATCACTCTTTGTTACAGCAAGCAAACCTTCCCCTCTCCATGTCACCCTTGTCCGAAACCTGAGAAACATACGAGAACATGGCACAGAGGCTGAGCTCTCTGAAGCCAGTTCCTGGCTGGTTTGGCTGGCCAGGGAAAGGCAGGTATGGTCAGTTGCCCCGTGGACATGTGGTGTGCAGGGAGAGAAGAGGGAAGAGAGCCACCCAGGCTCTCTGGCTGCCAGGGGATCCAGACTCTTAGCACTAGAACTTCTGTTTCTTAGAATTCTTTCAAGGAAAAAGATAAAGCTGTGTGTTTTTATAAGCTGTTTCCTATAGTGCAGATTTGGACTTCTATACATTTTATTACCAAATATTTTTAGTTAAGTGCTTCAATTTTCAACATTTTTAAAAATTTTCTTTTGAGAATCATCACCTGGATTTACAGGAATTTTTTAAGCATGAAAAAATTTAAACATATTCAAAAGTACATGAATAATACACTGAAGCCTTATATACGGATCACCCAGATATAAAAATTACCAAGATTTTGTCCCAATTGCTTCATTTTCCCCATTTCCTTCTTTGCTAAAGTATTTAAAAGCAAATTCCAGATAGCTTATCATTTCACCCCTGTATCCTTCAGTAAGTATCTATGGAAAATATGGCCATTTTCTTGTATAAACCACAGTACCTTTTTTTTTTTTTTTGAGGAGTCTCACACTGTTGCCCAGGCTGGAGTGCAATGGCACAATCTTGGCTCATTGCAACCTCTGCCTCCCAGGTTCAAGCAATTCTCGTGCCTCAGCCCCCCAGGTAGCTGGGATTACAGGTGTGTGCCACCATGCCTGGCTAATTTTTTTTTGCATCCTTAGTAGAGATGGGGTTTCATCATGTTGGCCAGGCTGGTCTCAAACTCCTGACCTCGTGATCTGCCCGCTTTGGCCTCCCAAAGTGCTGGGATTACAGGCGTGAGCCACAGTGCCCGGCCCACAGTACCATTTTTATACCTAACAAAGTGATTCCTTGGTACACTTAATACCTAGGCAAAATCAAATTGTCCTGAAGGTCATGAGTGTCTTTGGACAGTAATTTGGTTCTAATCCAGGATCTATATGAAGCCCACCCATTGCATCTGGTTGTTGTGTCTCTTTAGTCTCTCAATCTGGAGCAAGCTCCCCTCCCTTCCCCATTTCCCCATGTAATTTATTTATTGTAAAAATTGGGTTGGTTGTGCTGTAGAATATTCTGCCTTCTGGATTTGTTTGTTCCTTTCTGTGGTGTCATTTAACTTGTTTTACTATACTCTAAACGGAACCCTTTTCCTCTGTTTTAAGCGGAAGTCTCAGAGGCTAAACTTGATGTCTGTGTTAACATATGTCACATGTAGCACAGTGGAGAAAGCAGGATATGGCTCATAATTACAGTGGTGAGAATGATGTTGCTAGTTATCACCTACATGAGGGTTTGACATAGGTCTATGTTACGGGTCGCTGCATCTGCTGGAACTCATAGACTTTACTATAGAGAATCAAAGATCCCATATCCGAAGTCTATGGAAATGCTCATGGTGGTAAATTCCGACAGAATGAAACACCAAACTTGCTTCAAGTAACTCACGTTTCAACTTAAAAGAGACATTGTCAAAGTTGGAGGCCCCCAGGTTCCCGTCTGTTCCAAATCTTTGCGTGATGACAGTGGTTTCTCTGATGTGGTAAGCTTTGACTTCCCTCTATTTTCTTTCTAAATGATCACTGGAGTAGAGAGGAGTTAAACAGACATGACCTATTACCTCTTGCATGACCTCCACAGATAGCAAACTGGGCCAACATGGTTGACAATGTCCTTTTCTACAATGAAGTTAATGAAAGTTCTGAAAATAATGGTTACTTTCTGACATTGATAGGATTTAGGAAACCTTTGGATAAATAGCTTAAGCATGGCTGTTTATGTTTTTGCTATAGACAAAAGGCAGCGGCATGTACATTGTATTTGGACACAAGCCTGCCTCCATTAATATATTAAACTATTGGACCACTAGGGTTAGTAGGGAGCAGTCTGTACACTTTTTTTTTTTTTTTTTTTTTTTTCTTTTCTTGAGACGGAGTCTCACTCTGTTGCTCAGGCTGGAGTGCAGTGGCCAGATCTCAGCTCACTGCAAGCTCTGCCTGCCGGGTTTACGCCATTCTCCTGCCTCAGCCTCCCGAGTAGCTGGGACTACAGGCGCCCGCCACCACGCCTGGCTAGTCTTTTTGTATTTTTTTGTATTTTTTTTTTTTTTTGAGGCGGAGTCTCGCTCTGTCGCCCAGGCTGGAGTGCAGTGGCGCGATCTCGGCTCACTGCAAGCTCCGCCTCCTGGGTTCCCGCCATTCTCCTGCCTCAGCCTCCCAAGTAGCTGGGACTACAGGCGCCGCCACCACGCCCGGCTAATTTTTTTGTATTTTTAGTAGAGACGGGGTTTCATTGTGTTAGCCAGGATGGTCTCGATCTCCTGACCTCGTGATCCGCCCGTCTCGGCCTCCCAAAGTGCTGGGATTACAGGCTTGAGCCACCGCGCCCGGCCATCTGTACACTTTCTGATACAGCATTCAGAAACATTCTAGTTGGACTCTGTAGCTTTCAGTTTTGTAGTTATCAGCAAAATACCTGGAGATGTAATAGGGTTTGGCCATCATATGTGAGCTTTGTGTTTCAGTGCCAGTTACTCAGGACTAGTAAATTAATGACACTGTCCAGAGGACTTCAGAGTCACCAAGCTGCTGTGCCTGCCAATGGCTGACTCTCCCTGGCTATCTGTGGCTGAGATGGTGTTGCCCAGGTCACGCAGAGCATGAGCTGCTACTCAAAGGGCACAGGAGATGGCCCTTGGGCTTCTCATCCTAGGATGCCCATGCTGCCCACCAATCCGTGAGAAGATATGTATGATTTCATTAGGCCCTGGATCAGCTTGTCACCTGATTTCCTGTTTCCGCTCACTCAGCTGGAGTTTCATTTTCAGACTGAAGTCTTCATCATTGGCTTCAGAAACAGCATTCATCTGTGGCTGTGTGGATGTAGTACACCAAGAACAACTGGGCTCTTCTCTGTCACTTTCAGTGGGCTAC